TCTGATCGTTTGCTCACCTCATTTGGCACTGGGCACTGGGTCAGAAGCGGTGGCCTCATGCTTTTCGTGCATTCTTTTTTGGGACGTTGGAGAAGTGTTCCATTGTACTCATAAGCGGCCAACGGCCTTGCTTATCCAGATCCGGTAAGTCACGCTGATGTGGCGCCAGAAGCCCATCATAGCCTCACAAAGCTACTGCTCTTTGTTGTGGCCTTCTTTGCTGGAATCTTCAGGTTGGCATATTGCTTTGGACACCGCAAGCGCTCCGGGTGGACGGCGCAGGTGCAGGCTGCCGGACTGTGTTTGGCGCAGCACGGTGAGTGGTCAACTAAGACAACAGGTGGAATATGTTTTGGTCGTTGGTTCATTGGAAGGCGAATTCGTTTACAGGTAACCATGCAGACTGTACACAATCCAGACATTGCCAGTGTTTGTATGATTTTTTTTGTGAGGGTATTTTAGTTTCTTGATGCAGAGTGCTAAGTGCTCTCCGAAATGCACACGGGATACTTTCGGTGGACCACCCTCTACCAGCCAATGCAGGGTTGGGAAAGGGAGAGGCCGGTTGCCGAGTTAGAGGACAGTTACCTGTTGGTTTCCTTTGAGCGGCATGTGACACTTGAAGTTTCGTTGAGGCTTCGCCGATGCCACCCTCAAACCAGTGGCTTGGCATCGCGCAGCCTTCCAATCGCTGGCAAGTCATGCTGCCGGAATAGCTGCTTTGATGCAGGTTGGGAATGGGTCTCCTGAAAAGCTCTCAGGGAGCTTGGGCGCTGTGAGAGACAATGAACCTGACACGCCATTCCAGGGGGTCGTATTTGATGCGTCTCGTGAACCATGAATGCCCCCAGCTTCGGGTGGGCCTGCTTCAATTGAGAAGGATATCGAGGGACAACACTCTGTGATGATCCTTGATGGATACTGGAGTTGCCTGGGCTGTTGTCCATTTCTCAGCTGTTGCACTTTTCTTGTCGTTCAACTCTGAGGTTGGCTTCGCGGGATTTCAGTACCTCGTGGTGGCCAAAATTTTGATGCTCGGCTTGGTCCAACATGATGGCAGGATGACGGAGGGGCCGTATGAACACTGAACCTGACCTTTGCCTCGCTTACCTCCAAGACTCTTAGAGATGGTTTTTGCAGAGTGGTGGGGAGTGCCAAGGTCATTGCAAACACGCAAACGATTAAATTACAACTACAACACACGCCCCTCACGGGTATGTATATATACGTACATCTATGTATAATGTATACTTTCTTGCCGAACTATATGCACAACCTCAGCACGGCATGGATCATGTCTCCTTATCCTCCTGATTCCTGCCTGCCTTTGGGTAGATGACATAACGTGACATAACTTTCTTTGTACTACTCCATTGCATCCCTGCCTAAGGCAGAAGGCACCGCAACCTTAAATTACCTTCAGGCCTCCTGCTCAATTTTTCTCCCTGGATGCCTGCATGAGCAACTCGGCTTATGCGGCCTAATTCCATAAGAGTATCCTAGCAGGATGGCTACGTCGCAGCTAGACTTTGCAGACATACTTTGTTGGATACCTTGTCCGAGGATGACGGATCCGTGTAGCCCGTTCTCTTTGGCCAACGTCCTGCTCTACATCACCCTTGCTTTATCAATTGCAGCCGTCATGGCCAGCTGCATGTGACCAGCCTGAGTTCAGTCGGACTTTTTAGATTTTGATATGCCACTGCAAGAGGACGGCGGCCAGCCTGCAAAAGGAGAAACAATCGAGAAAGCATGGAAGAAGGTAGGGTTTGACAAAGGAGAATGCAGGCGGCCCAAACGAGCCTCCCCATGATTTTGCTGCCATTGATTTCTGAACAAGCTGACAAAACTCTAGCTAACTAGCCACCCATTCCCCTCCCAGCTTCTCTGACTCAAAGGTCGAAACGCAGTGACACACATTTATAGGTTGATCCCGTAACAGTTCTTTCAACCTTCAGTTGGGGTTCCTTACATGGCTGCGGCATGGGGCTCGGGTCTTATGAGGTTTCTTTGCATTGACTACATGCGACGCTTGGCCATTGACACCGCCCGGCAGAAGCGCATCCGAGTTATGGTCGAAGCCCAGAAGCTTGAGCAAACAGGCGGGGGTCCAAAAAAAAAGGAAAGCAATGGAGTTGTGGTAGGGATGATTGATGCCCAATGCGTATGTGTCGGGGTTGGGCCCGTTTTCCCTCTTGGGACATTGGAGCAGTGACTAGCTGAAAGAAATACGAAAAACAATATGCAGACCCTACCCATCCTATGATATCCGACTTCTTGATATCCACAAGAAGCACAGTCATATACAGTTATGATTTAAATCATAAACCCATTGGTGAGGGAATGGCAGGTGCCCCTGTAACTGCCGAGTCACTAGGGCCGCTAGGGAGAGGAATGTTGATGTGGCTAGGGATGTCGGTGTCGCCGATAGCTCAGCCATCTCCAACCTACAAAATAACATGAAATTCCTGGGTTCCTGAAGGTCTTGGCCAACTCATCATCATCCTGGCGGGGCTGATGCTCCTGCTCTATGTGCTGGAAATCGCCAAGGCAGCCTGTAGAGATGCTTGTCCTTGTTCCATGTATTCAGCGATCACACAGACCTAAACAATCTAGCAGTTCTAGATATATTTCTATGTATATATGCATGGAATACTCAGATACTCGTACGGATTTAGTTTGCCAAACCACTTGAACCATTCTCAAGACCGCTAAACATATATTAGAGTATATTGCAGTAATGTGAACTCCCGCACTCCCTGGTGATATATCAACGACGAATATCGTCGTCTCGTCGCCGCTGAAAGGTTCAGACACTGGACCGGCATTTCCGACTTGCAGAGCCGAGGATGAGAAAGACGATCTATTCTGGTACGTGTGGGTGCTTCTACGCAGCGTTGGGGGCCTCGGAGCTAGGCTACATGAAAACGGATACAGGCCTGTAGGATTAGCCGGCTGCGCATCAGAGGGGGTGAAGCGTTCCAGGTTGTTCAAGGCTTCCTGCGTGTTCTTTGCAGGAACCAGGACTTTGAAAGATCTTCTCTAACCAGGTCTGTGGAAGCTCGCGGCCTTGGAAACTAAGGCGGGTGGCTGCATTTCAGTGGCGCTCTTCTATGGGAACTTGCGGGGGCTTCATGAATCACCCAAAATGCACATCCATTTTGCGTCCTTCAGCGCCAAGGAGGCCCGCTGAGGGCATGTGTGGGCAGTCAGAGTTTGATTGCATTCGTTTCGTTTGTCGAAGTCGGCAGTCACGATATGAGAGGGTTCAATGTTTGTTGATGGATGCCAGCTTTTTGGATGCACTTTTGATGGGCTGCCTTTTTTTTATACCCAAAAGCCAATATTGAGTGTAGGCGCTTCCATGTAAAATGTTGGGTTGCGGCCTTTTATGAGAACATCATAACTGGGGTCGCAAGACTTGCCGCTGTCAGGAGATGAAGTTGGCCGACTTTCTCCATCGAGAGTCGCCCCACGGCACGTGGTTGCCTCCTTGGGTGACGAATACTTTGACAAAGTTCGGGGGCGAAGCTTCCTTGAGATTTGGTGGAGTGGGTGCTTCACAACGGTCTATGGCACATACGAAATAAAACAAAACCCATTAGACTCGAAGGTCACAATGCATTGTTCTGCAGATTGTTGTATGTTTGCACTTGTGCAGAACTGGTTATTCTTGGTAGCGCCAGTGCTGCGTGTGCTGAGAATATGGATTTGGCAAAAGCCTTGCAACAGAAATTGATGAGTCAAGCAAGGACAAGGCCAAAGGGCCAAACGCAGCATGCACAGAATGACTGGGACGGATTAGTTAATATATTAATATATATATATATACTGACATGTTGTTTGGGCTGTGGCTTGGGGTTGCCTCGAGTTCTGTGCTGCACGCAACCCTACACCATCGACTGGCTGTCTTCAAAACAGTTCAAAACCAAGTTGATCGACTCCAATGTGTGATCCTTAATTACATGTTGGCGACACCACTGGTTGGCTGAGGCCAAGATACAGTGGGCAAACGATGAAGTTTACTGGAAGGGGACCCCTTAAGTGGCCATGTTTCAAGGTTTGACCGGCAAGTGGATCACATTTCCGGACGGCTGTGAGACATTGGGAGTGAACGACCTGGACCGCCTGTCTGAACCGAGGACGATTTGGCACTATTTGCCAACAAAGGGAATCGCCAAGCTTTGTTCCCAAATTGCCGGTTTTCTCCACTGCTGCATTTGCTTGGCTTCTTACTCTTCATTGGAATCTCCCCACTAGGCATCCACATGGCGATCCAGCAGCTGTTCGTGGAGCCGAAGTTGAATGAGTTGAGACTTTGATTTGACAAATTAACTGTTTGACCAATCGCTATGCCCAGCTTTGAGCCACGTTTTCTCCTTCAAAATCAGCCACGTAGATCTACAGTCCATAGGTGGCGGCATGCAGTCTAGCTCCCCTCACTGCTTTGGTGTATTGAATTCAGAGGTTGTTGACAGGGTTTGCCGCTGCTTGTGTGCTTGGCTCTGCCTACAGCAGGAAACATATGGCTCCAATAACAAGGTCGCGTGTTGGTATTTCACCTGGTGTTGTTGTCGTGTTGGGAAGCTTGTCGTGTTTGTTTTTACAGGAGATTGAGACATGTACTTCAAAACAGCTATGACGGCGAGTTTCCTTTTTCACTTCAGCTTGCCAAGTTTGCTTTTCAAATCTGTGTCTCAGAGATGATATCTCCAAACAAATGCATGCATGTATCAGACGCCTTGGGACCAATCTTTGTTGTTCAAAGAACTTGGTATGTAGCGGCCCAGGGATTGCCACCATCGGTCGACAGCTTGAGTTCCCGCAAGCGTGGCTCCAGGTTTCTTCATGACTTTCAATTTTTCTTGTAAACTGATGCTTTCCATGGACGACTGGAAAGTTCTTGATGTATGACTTCTGGCAACTGCTTTCCCAGGCTTTGGCTCCATCACTGTACAACCGAATTTGTTTGGGATCGCCCAGAAACTTCATGATTTGCGATTGCTCAATCTCAATCTTTGATTCTACAGGTGGACTGGCACCAGGAGGTACCAGCTTGAAAGGCAACACTTTCAGAAAAATTTTGCCACCTCTCTTTGCCACAGGCCCCTTGTATGTTCTGGCCTTAAGCCCAAGTACTCGAAAGTGTGCTTGCCAGTACTTGGGTACTGTAGTTGCTTCCCAGGATTAGCCTTCTTGTAACGAACAGCTGCTTCTGTCACCTCTTTTTGAAAACAAGGGTTTGCTTGGCTAACGTACAACTTTCGAAGTCCATCAGCGTTCGCCTCAATGTTTCCAAGACTGGTTCAGGTTTGTGCACATGGCTTCTCCTGCTTTGGCTTCTGCTGCCTGCAACGCCTGATAGATGTGTTCAACTGCAGTTCTTGCCAACTTGAGCTGGGATTGGGCATCAGCAACCGAAGGGGCTTCCATCAAGCGCGATTTGCTGTAAAGAGTGATGACCCTGCACAGTGGTGCACCTTCCAAAAAGCCCTTGACTGCTGCTCGTAGATGTAGCAGCTCTTTTGCAGCTGGAGAAGGGCATTGCTTGATGTTGTGCACCACTTTGCCACAGCAAGAACATTTGTGTGGTGGCTGAGCACGTACTGTCTTCTTTCTCTGGACCTTGGACTTACTCATTTGCTTCAAGTCACCGCTAACTATCACAGTGTAAGGCCAAGAGAGCTTAACATCCCAAGCATGGTTGAACCCCATGGTTCTATGGTCAGGATGAGAAAGAAACCCTACAAAAGTACCAGGTTAATTTATCAACATGCCTCCAATAACAACACTGTGGATCAATTCATGTTGACTCTGAGCTTGGTTAATGCACACTCCTTGTCGTATGCAAAGCCTTTGGACTTTGAATGTGAGGAAACATTTAAGTGGAACACTGGCAGAAGTCTCGCCCAGAACTCAAGCGTCAGCATGGCAGCTCGTGGGACCCTGAGCTGCAATTTGTCGGCTGAACGTTTCCAAAAGCTTGGGGGTGCACAGGATCCTTTGACTTCAGCTGTGCAAACGGACCACATGTTTTTTCATGCTTATTGTTTTCATGCAGGTGGTTGGTAGAGACATCTCTGGGGGGTAAACCTGTTTAGGTTTCCGGCATCATATTTGTGTTGGTCACAACGATGGGATCCCAAGGGGCAAATCAACAGAGGAGGCACTTTCCGATACTTTACACAATCACTGCATTCTGCACTGACACCGTGGCGAGGAAGTCTGGGAAGTCCCGAGCAGCTCAGCCGGTACCAAGAATTTGTGTTTCTGCTGAGCTCTGGGATTGGAAAGATACAAGTGACGCCAGAGTACCGACATACTTGGAGACTTGGGGGGGCAATGATTTGCGCTTGTTGTAACATTGCTTGACTTGTTTGACCAGTTTTTGCATGTTTTGTGTGACTGGGTAATCATGCATACCAATGGTATCAGCATGTCTTTGTGCTCGTGCTGTGCAAACCGGCCAAGCAATGTATTTGTTTGGCTCTTCCTTTGGTTGAACAAGCCCTGTTTCCCTGTGGCAAGCGAGATGTTTGCAGATCATCCAAGGAGTGTCAGATTGTGTTGTGAGAACTGCACAAGGCAATACTTGGGCCATTCCCTGATCAAGTTTCATGACAAGCCCTTGGAGTTTGAGGTATCAAGCAATTCATCAACCTCTACAAACTGCACCTTGAGCTTGTTGGGCCTGAGCCGGGATACTGTGACCAACGTGTCATTGATCGTAGTGCCCAAGGAAAACCATCACCTTTGCGATTGCTCAGGGGGTGTGTGCAAGTGCTGCGAGAAGTTCCAAGGTCAATGGGATTCTTGAGGAGGCTATAACAAGTTTTATTGTCATGCCACCTATTGACCTATTGCCAAAAATATTCAAATGTTTCAAATCCAGCCGTCAAACCGGGTCAAACCTAAGGATTTCCGTCAGTGGAACAGCATGACAGTGGCCCGCCTGGCTGGTACTATATGTGTTGGCTCGCCTTGCATCGGCGAGAGGGTGAATGGACTACCAGGTCCTAAGTGCAAATGCAAAGACAGCTACTTTGGCCAGCCAAAGCTGATAGGCAACAACTTAACAGATGCCGGGTGCACTGCTGCACGTTGCGACATTCCCAACTCCAACCGGCTGTTTGGTGCAGATTGTGCTTGTGCAGATGGGTTTGATGGCAAGATCACATGGACTAGGACCATCCCTAATGGGCAGTGTGTTCCTGCTAAATGTCACATATTGAATTCGACCAAGGAACCAGGGCTGAAATGCCGATGTTTGAACGGCTTCACTGGCAGTATACGATGGAACGGCTCAGAGGCAGAAGGTGATTGCACGCCAGCGCCATGTAGTCTGCCCAATTCCACCAATGAGCCCGGGCTAAGCTGCCGTTGCAGGGAGAAGTATGTCGCTTCAGCTGTGGAGCATGAAATCCTGTTTGGTCCTGTTTCTGCTTTTGTTGTTGTTGTTATTATTATTGTTGTTTTGCAATTGATCGCAGGTTTTGACTCAATCTTTTTGGCTTAAGCAACCTTGCTACCCTCCTAGCACCCAAGAGGCGGTGTCAGGAGGATTGATCTAGAGGAAGGCTGCTAAGGAGAGAAGCAGCAAGCCTTTACCTTGGGTTACCCCGCGAGGTAAATAGAAGGAAAAGAAGGGGACGAGACATCCCTGACAGTTAGAGAAGCGAGGTCTCAAGGCAAAGCTTCTCGAGGCACGTGCTGAGGGTGGCCGACTGGAGCATGAGCTCCTTGGAATGAAGAGTGCCGTGAAAAGCACTCACTGAAGCCAAGCGGAAGAAGCAGAAAGCAGCTGAGTATGTGGCCGGGCAGCCACACCGCGTGAATTAGAGGTGTGTCAAGCACGAGAGTTAGCACCGCCCTGGCATGTTGTCTATGTTTGCCAGATAGAGGACGCTTTGAGATAGCCACCAAGCCCAAAAGGGAGCGTTCAACGAGTGAAGCCGATCAACGTAAAGTTGGAATACGACCGATGGCAAAGGTAAGTTGCTATCCGTTCTGGTGTGAGTTAAGGTGTGGTGTGAGGGGCTCCTCCATCAGACATCATCAGACTAAAGGTCGTGCAAAACCATCGAGTGAGGGAGAACATGCGGGGGAGGACGGGGACTGACGTGCCCCCCCTTAACTGGACTGTTTGTCCGGCACGTGTTATGCAGCAGGGGGGTGCGAGTATTTGCTCGCCTCTATGAGTATACGGTATACGTACAATAGCCTTCACCGTTTGGCAGTTTACCTGACACTTAAAGGACGAACCTCATCGGACTCCGCACCAGGGGGCCAGCCCAGACAAATGGAGCTTTAGTCTCGCTACAATTGCCTCAATTGCCTTATTTAGACCGGCAGTGGTGTAGGAGAGGTGCTGGATACCTGATGGCAGGGAGGCAAAAGCATCAGGTTCGATGCCCGTTAAGGTCAAAGAGGTAGTAAAGAAGCGCAAGAGGTCTCTCTGCAAGAGGTGAAGGGCCTAAAGGACATGAAGTCAGTACAGGCGGAAGTGGATCTCAGAAACGTCAGGTTCTTCTGATGCAGATGAGGGCTCAGGGAGCTGCGGGAGTGGTTCAAAGGAGGCGGGCTGTGATGCACAATGAGGCTGGGAAAGCGTTCAACCCCCGCAAGTGCTTCTCGCAGTGAGCATGGTGCTGAGCATTTGTCGTGGAGACTCTGTTGAGTTGGCATTAGGTGACGTCCACCGGGATCAGCTGCCGGCTAGGGTTGAGCGGCCGCCTGCAGGGGGTCACCTGGCGCGCAACGAGGAGGTGGGCATGGACTCGGAGGACCAGGCAGTTCGAAGGGAAGAAACTGCAGAGCTTGGGTGTAGGTGTAGATTTGAAGAGCAGCAAGGAGGGTTCAACAAGAAGAAAAAGGTGGCGTCAAGGGCAAGTAGAAGGAAAAGTGAGGAAAGAGGCTGATGAATTCTCAGCCTTACCGGAGCTCCTGATTAGAAGAATGGAGAGACTTCCTGGAGAAGAAGAGCACGCCTGTTTAGGTGGGCGCTGCGTTGGATCGGTTCCTGAAACTGTAGTCAAGACGAAACGGCTTTGGCGTTCCCAAGCCACACCGCTTTGACCACCAAATAGCTGAATTATTTGACATTGCCCTACCGCGAGGCTGACCCTGCTTTCTGTCAACGGTTTCGCTCAGCGCTGGGTCTGCAATAGCCAATACTTCCACACATGGCAGTGGTGTTACACCCCGGCAATGATGGGGTTGGCACAATTAGTCAAGCGCACGAGCCTGTGGTGCCTCGTAACATCTCGTACCTATGGCCAAGGAATGAGTGTTATCCTACCAAGCAACAAAATACCAAGCAGCAAGCCCTTGCAAGTCGTCATCCGCAGGTGTTTGGCTGACTTTGCTGCTTCTATGGTGGGTTCTAAGCGTCCTGATTTGTTAAAGGCGGAAGACCCTTCCCACCTTCGCGCATATGTCTCAGAGCTTGGTTTGGCTTGGCAAGGGGTGGAGTCACTTGGTTCTTGCAGTCCCCGCTCTGCTTGGGTCAACGGAAACAGAGCCTCTTCAACTTGAGGTGAATGTTGCGCAACAGAGCATCTTCAGGCGGATGTTGCGTAAAAGTTAGGCTTCACGCCTGCTGACCGGCCACAAGGGCCATCAGGGGCTGTCAATTAGCTTCACTAGCAACCTTGAAGCACTCCAGTGAAAAAGTGCCTGCTGTCCCTTTAGGAGCGAGGGGTAGACGGTAAACACATTCTTTATATTTGTTTATATATATATATGTTTGTAGAAGTCGCTGTCGCTCTTACTTGCGCAGCATGGCCAAGGTAGGAACCATTTCATGGATTGGGTCCACACCCGTGGGCACTTGTGAGCCAGCACACTGCAGTGGACCTAGGGTCAACGGACTGCCTGGCCCGGCCTGCAGATGCAAAGATGGTTTTACAGGCGTCTTGGCGAAATCACATACCAATGGATATCGTTGAACTTGCCCACTCCACATGGGTAGTGCGTTATCCTTTTGTACAAGCAGGACATCTATCACAGAGGCTTTGGATAAGAAACGCAGACGGCAACATAAGGCCCGCCGGTGTATGGCACCCTCCACCGCACGGAGGGGAGCAGCACAGTTCATGCCATGCGCAAATTCATTACTTGAAACTTAAAACTATCTTGCATTCAATTTTGCGGTGTATTGTTTTTGAGGACCGTGCGCAAGCAGCATGCAGGGGTCTTTGAAGGCCTTTAAATTTATTAAACCACCCTCAGCCTTCACCCTGAGGAGTAGACAAACCTGGACAACGGCAAACCGGGCAGCATATATCACAAAAACTACAAAACACCAATCCAATAGAACTGGGAGCGCAGAAAGGCACAAACAAAGGAAACAAAACCAAAGAGGCCTCAATTAGCTATGAAGCGGACAAGGCGTAGGTTAGGCGTAGCTGAATTACAGCGAAAATTGCAAAACAGTTTGAACACTTGGAGCCGCAACAAAAACAATAGCAAATGGTTCCACACAAAGAAGCAGAGCAAAGCAAAGCGGCCAAGTCGAAGAGCAATGAGGACATGATGTTTTGTTTGTTTCTTGGTCAGATGTTCATGTCTATGTGCCAGCAGTTGTTGCTTCCATTGCGGGTAGGGATTCAAACGGGAAAAGGGGAAACCTTTCATGAACTGCGGTGTTGCACAAATTTGTCTATCGCCAGCCTTTTGTGTGTTGGAGTTGAATCAAGTCTTTAGTGATGCGTTTGGGACAAAAATAGTCTAGCCTATTGGAAAACATCATTTCAGGTTGGTTGCTGGGTGATTATGTTGTTTGCTGAGGGTATGGCGGAAGTGATGTAAATAGCAGTCCTGTCACCAAAATCAACAGAGGCGAGCCTGAGATGAACGGGGACATCTTGACAGATTATGGGTGCAGCCATGCTTCGTGCAACATCCCAAACTCTACGGAGGAAGGTGGCTGGTGCAGATGTCGGGACGGCTTTGGGGGAATGATCAGATGGAAGGGTGCTGAGGCCTACGGTTTTTGCAAGCCGGCTCCTTGCCCAATTCCAAACTCGAACAACATGCCAGGAGATCAGTGTCGCTGCTTAAAAGGCTATATAGGCCTTATCGTCTGGGATGGGCCACAGGCAAAGGGTTCATGCACCGAATTGCCGTGCGTGGGCGAATTCACCAACGGTGTCAGCGGTCCAGGCTGCAGGTGCCGAGATGGTTTTGCAGGAGTCGTCAATCGAACCAATCGCCTGCGCAGGCGCGGAGAAGTCAGGAGAAAGCATGCTGTATTGAACTCCAAGGAATACAGGCGGGAACCCATTCTGCGCGGCCATTGCGAACCTGCACCTTGTAACGTACAGCACTCCAACCAGCAGCCGGGCAAATTGTGTAAATGCCTACGTGGCTTCATTGGCTTCATTACTTGGAATGGCCCTACGGCACTGGGCACGTGCAATCCCGCTCCATGCTCTATCGAAAACTCAAACAAAAAGAAGGGTTTTAACTGTAGCTGTCTTGATGGCTACGGTGGAAACATCTTCTGGACAGGATGGAAGGCTTTCGGGACATGTCTTCCAGCCGATTGTACGGTTCTACATTCTGACTTCGTGCCAGGTGTTGGTTGCAAATGCTTGCCAGGTTTCTATGGCCAAATCACGTGGAAAGGACATGTGCCACAAGGAGAGTGCCTTCCAATGCCAACATGTTCCAACGCTTTGATCCACATCGTTTCTCTGAAGAGCAAACAACATGATTTAGAGGGGCATGCTTGTGATCTTGGTCAGCAGCTAGTGCTCCATGGGCATGCAGAAGGACAGAATATCCGATGGACACGTGTGGAATCTAAGCCCCGTGGAAGGCCGGCAGTCACCCATGTTCATGTCACATGAAGAGTAAGGACCAGTTCTTTGCTGAGCATCAGTTTGGGATGTTTTGGAGGCATGTGTTTTTGCTCAAGGTTTGTCCTCGAGTTTGCAAGTGTGGCGCTCTTCTTGTATAGTTTCTAACACATTACTAACGCCAAAAGGCGCTAAAAGGCATTTATCGCGCCAACAGAGATACTGCAACACGTCCTTCCCACGTTATTCTGCCAGGTGCAAGTGGAATTTATCGGAAGGAGAACCTTGGCGACTCTTCTCTGAGGTTTCCCCAGGACCACCTATGGAGTGCTCAATTGAAGCGGCCCGGCCTAGGTGTGACTCAGAGATCCGTTACAGCATCACCAGCCTTCAGGCGTCCAGTTTTAGCTGCCGCCAAGGGGTCGGCCACATGCCGCTGGAGTTCCCCCAACGCGTTGAGTTCCGAGGCAGAGTGTGTGGCTATGATTTGATCCAATGGGAGAGTGTGAAGATTCCACTGGAACCAGAGAGTGTTTGTGAGATCGATCGTCAGGGTTCACCCTGTGGTGGGATTCCTCATGGTGAACACCTACCGCATGGGTGTTTGCATTTAGCAGAGCCTGCAGTCTTCGAGATGCGTACAACATGGTTCACGGTTCAGGCCACATCACGCTACAGAGGCTTCCGTTACTCTGTGAGGTTCTTTGACAACGGTATGGCCAGCATGTGTCATGGCCTGAAGCTCAGGTTGATCAACCTTGATTTACAGTACCTTGACAAACTTCGATGCACAATCCCATAGGAACGTAGCTTTGATGAGGTAAGCTTATAACATTCTCTAAGCCACGGAGGCTGTTTTTCAATTATTCAAAAAAGAGCATGAAAAGATAATGTTGAAAACGCTTGTGTTTTGGAAGGCTGTTGGCTCCCGTGAAAAGAGCAGATGATTGACCATGTTCGTGAGTGTTACCTGAAAAAGAACATGTCCTTTACTATGCTCATGAGGTTCACCTGAAAGGAGAGCATGCCTTTTACCATGTTCATAAGGTTTGAGAAGAACACATGAAATCCACAATGTTCCAAATACTTAAAATAACAGGTGCTCAACCTGGACACCACGCGTTTTGGCAAGCTCGCCTATCCGTGTATTTAGCCCCTTCTTATTGACAAGCGAACAGAAGAACAACAACAACAGCAGCAGCAACAATAATATTGCAATAGCAGTTACCTGCGATCTAGAATCGAATCAAGATTCTAGCTGTCTAGCTGCTAGCCTTTGGATTTTTTAGACCTAAAGTCTGCTGCAGATGGAACAGACTGTGTGACTGGTTCAATAGTTAAAAAGATGCGAAACAAAGACAAACGCATTTTGAAGAAGTTCATTTGTTTAACAGTGGCTGGAGGAGGTTGTTTGGCGGTAAGGGATCTCGTTTGTAGTTGCTCTTTGTAGTTGCTTTTTCACCGCTCCTTTTTCGGGTTCTCTTTAGGGGTGGTTTGGTAGTCGTAGTTGATCTTTTGCAGTTGCTCTTTTGGAGACTGGTCCTGAGGAGACTGTAGTTGCTCTTTCTTGTCAGACGTCTTGCAAAACGAGTGCGGAAAGAGCAACCACAGTCCCCACGACCAGTCACCGAAAGAGCAACCACACCGGACCTACTTCGACTTGCCTGGAAAGGCACTGGGTTCAACTTTGGGGATACAGTGTCCCCAAAAGTATACATAAAGCAAGTTTGACTTGAGTACACCAAGAGTCGGATTGTGATGCACGGAAAGAGCAACTACGAAAACCGTCCTACCATAAAAGAACAACTGCAAAAGCAAGGAGCAGGGAAAGAGCAACGACAGCTATGGTGGAATTGTCGCCGAAAAGGCATTCCAGCAAATAAATAGCATTCTTGGCTATGCTCTAGATTCTGTAGTTGTAGGGCCTGGGGTTGTAGAGGTTCTAGCTCCAGAGTCTAGAGATTCTAGGGTCTAGGGCCTAGCGTCAAGTCTAATTGAGTTTAGAGCAATTCTCGAGTCTAGAGTTCAGGCCTGGAGTCACAAAGTGGGTGGTCAGTGGTTAGGTGGTGGTTACAGTTACACTCCACGCACCCAAAATCTGACCGTAGGATCAAGGGCCAGAAGAGTAGGGCAGGGTAGAGTTTAGTAGAGTAGAGTCTTGCTTACTACTATGGAGGAAGCAAAGCAGTGCCTGCAAAAAGGTCGGTCAATGTTTGCACAAGTGTTGTCGTCACCTTGCCGCTTGCTCCTCGGAAGGCGGCCAGTAGGTCAGCAAGTTAATCAACTCTCCCTTTTGTAGGCCCTAGGCCCCTGAACCCACCTATATAGGTCTCTTGGGGTGGGCAGTGGGTCGCATCCTGCATTTGCTCTTTGTCACGCATTCGGTCTCTTCAATGTTGTGCTACCAAGAGATAGGTTTGCATGAATGAATGCGCAACAACCGTCAGGAGTACTAGTCCCGGAAATCCGGCCAAAGTTGAAACTTTATAATGTTGCCACTTCAATGGCAGTTGCAAGGCTTACCCTTACAATATTGTTTCCAGGCCCAGGGGAAAGATCCCAAAGAGCGCCAGCAGTCTAGAAAGAGTAACTACAAAAGAACAACTACAAACTATACCCCTGAGAGAAGAGCAACTGCAAGCGAAGCTGCTGAATCAGTGCAATTTCCGTGTTTCCCTCACCAGAGCAGCTTCGCTCGCAAGTGTATTCACGAGGCTGCTTGTAACTCCAGGGTTGTCACACACAGACACACTTTCACAAGGACCACCATCATCCTGCTTATACAGGTGGTAGTGAAGGCGCAGGAACAACGTGACAGAACATGAAGGTCAGGACTAAGCTATGGCTGGTGTGTGTGCGGATAAGGGACCTGAACTGAATTTAAAGCCAGCGGGCACCTCAGCCTAGTGTGTGGGTGCACGCGTGCAAGCTAAAATTGAAATGACAAAGCAGCAAAACCGTGGATCATCTTTGGATGCTGAGATCATTTGGACCATCTCTTTTGCAATCACGCGACATGCTCCTGACCACTACCGCAGACCGCGCGATTTGCCTGGGTGAGAGGTTCATGCAAAACCGGCGAAGAGGGTTGGATTGGAAAGAAGTTCTTACGTTTGATCGACAAAGCCAATGCCTTCCGGAAATTTGGCGGCTCTTACGCATTTAAGATGCGTTTTTAATTAAACACCCTTTTAAGTGTCCACGATGAACTGCTGCTTGCCACTTTTGTGAAGCGACTGTGTCCCACAGCTCAGATGGCCAACGGAGGGGCTGACTCCTAGTGGTGCCACAGCTGAGAAAGAGTTGCGACCCATTGCCCTCTCAAAGAGCCGACTTGTCGGTGCAAGGGGCCGACTTAGTTATCCGGTCCTTTGCCCTGCAAGTAGCCCAGTCGATCTACTTATGCAAGTGCGCACTGAATTTAACATGTGCGTTAATTCCTATACGTTCTACATTTCAGAAGTAGGCCAAGTTGTTCTTAAATGTTTTATATAAGTTTTATAACCTTCCGTCTCAAAGCCAGGCGCTTCCTGCAAGACGGGCGGCTCACGACCAACAGCCTGCAGGCATCCCACCGCATCAATCACATCTCCTACACTGACCTAACGCTGACCAAAATAGTTGCTGACTAGCTGATCCATAGAACATTAGCATTAATAATACTAACATACACCAGTATTTATCCATGAACACAAACAGGCTGATCCATAGGTCCAGGTTCTGACTTGGGTCGATGTTCCATACGGCCGCAGATGCAGGCCACCCTGTTCCGCTGAACCAGACGTCGTGATTTGGATTTTGCAGACCTATCTATCTTTTGTTGTTTGATGTTGTTTGGCTTATTCTTTTGTAATTGAATTATGCACGTGCTTCTTTTTTCTTGGACTTCTCGAACTCGAGCGTTTGGGAGCGATTTCTTGGAACACAAGTTTTCAAGTTTTTCCGAACACGTTGCTGTATCGTGTGCTCCAGGCTAGTGTGCCACATCAAATTGAAAGCAAGATGCACGTAACAACTTATATATTAAACTTTTTTGCCAACATTTTTCTTGTCAAGAGTTTGCTGGCTAGCAGCCGCTCAAGCAATCACTCCAGGCCACCAAGTAGCTGCTAAGCCTGGCGTTGCCACTCCTTTTTCTTACTCAACAAACTAAACACATAGAATCACATAGAGCTTCAAGCATACTTCTCATAGGACCAGCCACACAAGCTTGTGCATGTCCACCTGGAAGCTAAACAGCAACCAAGCAACGGACCGGACAATCTTCAAAGGCTCAACGAACTTGTGGCTCATGTTCTCGAGCCAGGCCGCCTCGGCATAAAAGCGTGCCAGGCTGTGGCAGGGCAGCGGCACCTGTGCAAACCCCCCATTCCCGCACACCATCGGGCCACCCACATAGCATGCAAACTGCCCATGGAGGCTAACTTTAAAGCAACACGACATTGCGGACCACCGGTGCGATTATGCCAGCAGTCACTTCGCATGCGCTTTATCAGTAATTAACCAGGCTTTCCTGATCAGAAGCTCAAATGGGTCTCGCTTGTGGTTCTCCATGCCACCATGCCCTGCTGGAGGCGCCCCGTCAACGAAACGACCAGTCAACACAGTCTTGGCGCAGAAAAAAACATGGTGCCCCGTGTGAGTTCCATTGGAGTCAGGCGAGCCAGGCGAACCTCTTTGGGTTCTTGGGCTGCGGGGCTATCTTGCTTGAAAGTTAGTTTCCTCGAACCCTGCAAGACGCAGCTAGATAATCATAGTCAAATACGTCATGTGGACGTTGCAACTCCAATCCTGCTGATGAGGTCACACTGCAAGCAGGCAAGATGATGCACTATCCTGTCACTGGTCGAGTGGTTTGTTTGCAGATGAATGGCACCTCAATTTTCGCATGCCAGCTGTTTTCGAGAATGGGATGGAGCTTGCATTTCGACGTGTGGAAGCAGATGAGGACAACGCCTTTGGGTTGGGATCTGCTTTCCGAGTGCTAGATGCACACGATGAAAATCTCATTCTCACGTCGCATCAACACCTACCCTCTTGGTGGGTTTCAACCTTTGAAAGAGACTGGGCGCACGACGGCAACATCGAGGCGTTGTCGTGGCAATGCCAACTTTCCCACTTTCAGAACGGCACATGCTACCAAGTCAAAGTTGGTGTGGGGTTGTGGATTTCCGAAACGAGTGCCTGCGGTGACTTGTCGGACCATGTCAGCACGAAGTCCGTCACAGACAATAAGTACTACACATATGCTCGGTCCTCTCGTGGGAGTCAAATCTATGTGAGCACGCAGGAATGCTTGCCACTTGCATCTCGCTACGAGCTTCAGGTAGAAGTTGTATCCCTCAGCGGGAATACAGGTCCAGTGGCTTTGGAGGTTGCGAGTGCGGACACCCGGTGCCGCAAGACCCTTCGTTTCCTGGATTGTGCACTTATATTTTTCCCTGATCATTTCTGATCGTAGACAATAACAGAGATGTCGAGTCAGGCGGATGTTTATAATTCCTGCAGCCCATCCAAGGTTTTGTGGCGAAAGCTGAAGATCTAAGCAAGTGCAAGAATCATGATGGGGATCCGGAATATGAGTGCCTCAGCTAACTTCAGCCTTGCTAGTCTGAAATCACGGGCACGTGTTTCAGGATGCCAACGGTGGAATGCACCCACCCTTTGCGTCAATGCGGTTGGGAGTTCCACCGCAGTAGAGCCTTTCAGTGATATATGTTGCTTTGTTCAACAGATAGGCATGTAGGTGAAGGTGTTTATCCTTAGGTGAGGCTGAAGGATATCAAAATGAAATTCATGTTTTGGGCAGGGCTTCCGAACAAGGAGGCGCATGGATTTGGTGGCACCGCAAAACCACAAAGCATATTGCTGTTTGACATGTCATTGTAGTTTGGTACTGTCATGGCTTGATCACGACCAACACATGTGTTAGGACAGTTTGGTAAGCACAAGCAAGTAATATACACCCTCTCAATTGCCCTTTCTCGCAACGGACTCGAAGTAAAGCATAGCTCATCTACAGACCAGAACAGTGATGATACATTTTTAGACCAGAACACTAGGCTGCAGGGCATGCTGAAGGGCATTTTCGGTTCTTGGAGTCCATGACAAGAGCATTCTTGCCACCGTAGCAACCTAGGCATCTCCAAAGAATCAAGCATTTGTTCGGCTTCGAAGAGGATGATGAGGATGAGGATGGCATGTAGATGGAGGTTTCCTGATCCGGAGCAGGCCACTTAGCCCAGAGACAGCCTGCCAGCAGAACTGAGCACGCAAGAATTGTTCGTACGGACTGGTTGGCGCATTCTTTTTGAAAGCACAACGGTAGGGGTGTGAGTGGACGTGAACGAGTCATTGTTTCTGAGTTGCGTGCAAATGCTTGAAGTGATATCCCAGGTAGCTAGCTGTTCCTGTTTTGGCAATGTTATATACCCATTGCAAGTCACTCGTGTGACGTGCAAACCGGACTTTGTTATAGAGGACACTTTTGGCAGCTTCCCTCCAAGAAACTTGTACCTGACAATAATTAGATCTAATTAGATCACAGATGACAGACAGAATCATAGCGTTGCCCACAACAAACATCCTTCATCATCCTTCTATGTTTTGAGTAGACTAGACTATAATATGACTACAATATGAAATGCAACTGAAGCTCTCCAAGCGTTCTCACGAGAAGAACTGTCAGACGCAATCAGTGCCAATGCGGAGAAATGCGGGCCGAATCGTCCGGCTGAGAAATGTTTCAAGCGGGTGGGAAGACAGATGAAGCTCCCCCAACCGTACTTTACGCATCAGTGGCCTTTGGTCTCCCAACGTTGGTGAAACACGAAAGTTTGGACGACACAGATTGAAGCTATGAGATATGATATGAAGCATTCACATATTAGCTGCAAATCGGCAAGGCTCTAATTTTGTGCTTGTGTTCAGATGTTCGCAGTCCACCCCCCCATCAACCAGTGTCAACTTGCACAAGGCCGCAAGCTCCACTCTACAAAGATGGAAGCAACCCGAGCGTGTGCAAATCACGCGTGTGCGTTTTCCTTGAGCTCAGAAGGCCTTGTTGGGCCCTTTTGCGCACATGCATGGAGTGAACAGGCAGGGAATCCAGTCAACAACTCAAATTCTTTGGTTTTCGCTGACATTCCCACATGATGTTTGGGGTTGCTGTTCTTGTGCCAAGCAATGGTTGAAGACAAGGTGGACTGGCTGCCACTTGGCTCAAGCGTGTCTTTTAAATTGAAGATTTACGCATCCATGAGCATCAGGTTAAAGGGAAGAATCAGGACAGTATCGTAACGATGTTTGATTGCTACACATTATTGCCGCAGTGTTTGAACGGATTAATGTATAAGGTAATAATTCATGATTGTTTTTTTTGTAATGGTTCCTTCTTAGCCACCCCAAGACTCCCTTAGCCTTCTTCCTGACCACGATTCTCAATTTCAGCAATAATGGGTGGCGCTTGACATCTAGTGCCCCAGAGAAGTTTTAACTTACCCATCAAAGGATTCTTTGAGGGGCTGATGTGTTGTTCGGCATGATGGACTTTGTTTTTTGGTTCTGTGCTGACGCATGCTGACGCTCTTCGACCACAGCGGTACCATAGCTGCATGAGAGACTCCTACTAGTGGCAGACAGCACCTGTGTTCAATTCCACGCAACCAGACAGGGGCCCATTGTTTTTATCTGGTCCAACCACCGACAATAGAGCTTTTACGGACTCCTGCCCTCATAGGCAGGATGCTTGTGCCAGCCATCCCAACATACCCTTTGTAACAGGATAAGAATGTTGAGGCAGCACGCAACCAACGACTGCGCACTACAAGGTGTATGTATCAGAGTTTGCTTTTTGCCCAGCAGAGGCTCGACGGCAGCTGCAAAATAGACAGAGGACTGAGTTTTTGCAGAGCTGTTGCGTTCTGTAACATTTGCCCACATAAAAGCATCACAACTAACCTTCCTAGTGTGCAAGTGTTGCAGCATTTGACGTGTCTAAACTTGTGTTATGCATATGGAGGCACGTGCACATCCATGCGATATGAAGCCTGAAATATTAACGAGCACTATCAGTATACTACAATGATATATACTGATACTAGGCTAGTTACTAGGCTTCATTGCAGCACATTGACGTCTTGTAGGCACATTGACGTCTTGTTTGGCAAACGACATGTTTCACTTGCAATTCCGCAAGAACTGTCAGCACGTTTAGCTCAAATTCGGCTCTTCCAGTCCCCAGTCGCCATGGAGGGCTACTACTCCAGCTTCGACCTGTCAAAGGCGTTATCCGAGGACCTGGCCGGGCACACCACGCAGGGCGCCCATGGATTGAATTATCACCATGGACCTCCAGGGGATGAAGGGCAAACCTTCTTCATGCCTTGCAAGTCCATCATGGGTCAAGGTGCCATGAAGGGTGCAGTGAGTCAAATCAAAGCCTTGGGACACAAGAAGGCGTTGATTGTCACAGATGCTGTGCTAGTGAAGGTGGGGGCAGTGAAGGCTCTTACCGAGACGCTGGATCAAGCGAGCATTTCATATGCCATCTATGATGGGTGTGAACCGAATCCTACATGTGGACAGGTGGAAGCTGGTCTCAAGAAGATCAAGGAGGAGAACTGTGACTTCGTCATTTCCTTTGGTGGTGGTTCTCCCCATGATTGTGCCAAGGCCATTGCTTTGACTGCCACGAATGGTGGAGACATCCGTCAAATGGAGGGTGTCGACAAGAGCACCAAGCCGATGATGACCATGGTGGCTGTCAACACCACAGCGGGAACGGGTGCTGAGATGACACGTTTTTGTATCATCACGGACGAAACTCGACATGTGAAGATGGCGATTGTTGATTGGCGTGTTACCCCAACGTTGGCAGTGAATGACCCGAAGACAATGATTGGTATGCCCAAATCATTGACCGCCGCCACTGGAATGGATGCCTTGACCCATGCCATCGAAGCTTATGTGAGTACTGCCTCTAACCCAGTCACAGATGCGTGTGCCATTCGTGCGATGAAGCTGATTAGCGCATTTTTGCCCACAGCTGTTGAGGATGGAAAAAATCTGAAGGCACGTGACATGATGGCATATGCTGAGTTCTTGGCTGGCATGGCATTCAATTCCGCAGGGCTTGGGTATGTGCATGCCATGGCACATCAGCTGGGAGGGATGTACAACATGCCACATGGCGTTTGCAATGCAATCCTATTGGGACCAGTGCAGAAATACAATGCCAAGTATGTGCCTGAGCTTTTCATCGACATTGCGTTGGCTTTGGGCTTCCAGTGTGGCGAGGACAAGGATTTGGCTGTGACAAAGGTGCTCGAAACAATCAAGTTGCTGAAGAACAGAATAGGCATCCCCAAGAACCTCAAAGCCTTTGATCAGGTAAAGGTCGCGGACTTCCCACTCTTAGCTGAGAATGCCATGAAGGACGCATGTGGTGCAACCAATCCGCACCAGCCCACTAAAGAAGAAGTCATTCAGTTATTCCAAGAGGCTTATGATCAGGAGGACGAAGAGTCGATAGAGATCGCCAACTTGCAGCAGCAATTGGCGGCCGCTGCAGCTCGTTGCAAAGATTCAGCAGTGCTTAAGAAGGCCATGGTTCAGCTACTCCAGGGCTAAGGTGCTGCTGCTTCTTAATGCAGCGCCCATGTACAGAACAGTTGTGAGCCTGGGCATCACTATTGGGATTATTAGGTTGGCCATCGCTAGTAGGTGGGAGGCCATCACTATAAGAAAACGAAACTGTGACCGTGTATAGAAGAATTGTGAGCCTGGGCAGTTTCTTTTGTTCTTAGCCTTGAACTACGTATGCCTGCGTGTTCCCTCAGGCTTCGAGGGGTGAGTTTCAGTGTGCGCAATGTGCATCACAATCGGCTTGTGTCAGAGTCCTCACAAGTTATAGGATTCGCCCGTACTGTAGCGGCAAATGGTGAGAAAGGAACAGGAACAGGCCTTGCAGCTTTTTTTGTGCTCGTCGTGCTATCAGCGATGCTGCTGTTTGACGTGGGATATGACTTTATTTGGATTGAACTACTGTTTTTTTTGTTTCCGATCAGCATGACAGTCTTGTGACGCAGGACCTGTTCTACTCGCACATGACCAGTGGGTGAGGGGTGTGCTATCGCTGGAGTTCTTAAATTTTAAAAAAAACATAATTTGCTGCTTGAGAAGATTCGGTGATTTGGGGCTCAGAAGATACGAACCCGTTACTAACCCATATCAATCATCCACTGCTGCTATCTGCTGCTCGCAATAGGATAGACCCAAGAAACATACATTTTTCCAAGTCCACCAGCCTTCTGCACCAGTCGTTCTGAACTGCCGCGGCCCTCCGCAGCCATCGGCCCACCGCCCATCGGACGATCGCCTCGTGGATCGGACAGCCCGATGACGTTCGACGTGGTCGTGCTGGGCGCGACGGGCTTCACCGGGCGCTTGGCCTGCGAATATTTGGCTCAGCGGGCCCAAAAAGGCGTGGGGAACGAGAAGAGTTGTCTTGTGGTGGATATTTTCTGGATGCTTTTTTGGGGAGCTCAGGTTTTGCCTTGCACGGACTGCTTGAGATGTCTTTCTGGTATACTTTGATTTGGTTGTGTTTTGAGGTGCAGTGCGGTGAGATTCCGCACACGTCACTCCTGTGATGCCAGTGATCGTGGAAATCGCAGACACATCACTGGCCGAACCTCACAGTTCATCTATATTTGGTCATTCCATGTCATTCCATCATGTTCCCTTCAACATAGAAGGATGCCTTCATTTTATGTAGGTGATGTCCTATTTGAACCTAAAAGCTAGTCCACCGCAGCGATGAAGTCCAGAAGGTGATGTAAAGCCGGTGAGCTGGGCGATGGCTGGGCGTGATCTACAGAAGCTGGAGGGCATCAAAGGAGAATTGCCCGAGGTGCTCATTTCCATGAAGGGGAGGTATGCGTACTGGAGGGCGTAGGGAGTCCAAAAGTAGGAAGTCCCCAGTGCTGGAAAAGTTGGGCACTCTTACTTCCAGCTTGTCCAGCAATGAAGTCTTTGCTTTTGATTGGCCCATGGGAAGACAAGAGATATAGTCTTGGACTCGGAAAGGCCAAGATTTCTGACTGGACCATGATCCTGGGAGTGGATATGTACCAAAGATGGAGCTGATTTTGCCAAGATTTGACCTTTTTCCCGAATGCGTAGCGAAGGGTTCTCGTTTAACTCTTGGGGGTCTGGGGGTAGAGCCTTGTTCGCGACCCGTTGCTTCTATGTTCGCAACCGTCCGCAACTGTTCGCAACCGTCCGCAGTAGGTCGCTAAGGCGCTGCCATTGGGGGAAGCTTTTGCAAGTGACTTTTCATGGATGTGTCACGGTTCTGTTTGCGCCGCTATTCCATTGTGATTTGCATGAAAATGAGATGTGGCGCAAGAAACGTGATGCGTTTCGCTGCGCAGGCGCAGCGTTTTGTGAGATCTGCAGAGTGCTGCGTAGTTCCATTGAGATTAGCGTTTGGAGAGTCGTGTTTTTGGGGTGTTGGATGTGGCCGTGCCATTGGGATTTGCGTTGCAGGGTGTGGCATCGAAGCGCTGTTTTCGTGATAAGTCTCAGCTGAAATGCCGATTTTGGTGGATGGGAGTGTGCTCAGAACGGGTCGAAATCATTGCAAACGTGTGGTGTGGTGCAAATTTTGTTGAAGCTCACATGAGATGATATTGTCACTTTTCGTGGCAGGCGCAGTACTTGGTGTGGCTTTTGCGGTGTGGAAGTGTGATTTTCGTGGCAGGCGCAGGGAATCGTGAGGTTGCGAGGTGTGACGGAGGTGACATTTCGTGGCAGGCGCAGTACTTTGTGCGCCTTAGACGTGTGGACGCGCAAAGATTCGTGGCAGGCGCAGGGAATCGGGAGGTTGTGAGTTGTGGTAGAGGTGAATGTCGCTGTCACATTGGGATTGGCGTGTGAGCGGGTGTCGTTTGGAGGGGCTGGAATCGCGAAACTGCTTGGCAGGGCTGCGTGATGTGTGTGTCCGACGGGTGTTTCTGCTGGACTTTTGGAGGAAGTCGACTTTGACATGTGAGTTTTTGAGGAAGTCTCGTACGAAACGCTCGTTTTGGGGACTTGAAATGTGACTTTTGGAGGAAGTCTCGTACGAAACGCTCGTTTTGGAGACTTGACGTGTGACTTTTGGAGGGACTCTCGTACGAAACGCTCGTTTTTGAGACTTGACGCGTGACTTTTGGAGGAAGTCTCGTACGAAACGCTCGTCTTGCAGCCTCGCAGCGTGACTTTTGGAGGAAGTCTCGTACGAAGAGTGTGCCCTACAGGAGTGTCCCACAAGAGTGTCCTACAAGAGTGTCCCACAAGAGTGTCCTACAAGAGTATCCCACAAGAGTTTCCTACAAGAGTGTCCCACAAGAGTGTCCCACAAGAGTGTCCCGCATGTCCCAAAAGAGTGTCCTACAAGAGTGTCCCACAAGAGTGTCCCGTATGAGTGTCCCACAAGAGTGTCCCACAAGAGTGTCCCACAAGTGTGTCCCACAAGAGTGTCCGACAAGAGTGTCCCATAAGAGTGACCCACAAGAGTGTCCCACCAGAGTGTCCCACAAGAGTGTCCCGTAAGAGTGTCCCACAAGAGTGTCCTACAAGAGTGTCCCACAAGAGTGTCCTAGAAGAGTGTCCCTGTCTCACAAGAGTGTCCCACAAGAGTGTCCCGCAACCATGTCCCACAAGAGTGTCTCACAAGAGTTAAGAGTGTCCCACAAGAGTGTCCTATAAGAGTGTCCCACAAGAGTGTCCCACGAGAGTGCCCTACAAGAGTGTCCCACAAGAGTGTCCTACAAGAGAGTCCCACAAGAGTGTCCTACAAGAGTGTCCCACAAGAGTGTCCTACAAGAGTGTCCCACAAGAGTTTCCTACAAGAGTGTCCCACAAGAGTGTCCCACAAGAGTGTCACACAAGAGTGTCCCACAAGAGTGTCCCACAAGAGTGTCCCACAAGAGTGTCCCAAATGAGTTTCCCACAGGAGTGTCCCACAAGAGTGTCCAGCAAGAGTGTCCCACAAGAGTGTCCCACAAGAGTGTCCGGCAACAGTGTCCCACAAGAGTGTCCTACAAGAGTGTCCCACAAGAGCTTCCTACAACAGTGTCCCACAAGAGTGCCCCACAAGAGTGTCCCACAAGAGTGTCCTAGAGGAGTATCCCACAAGAGTGTCCTACAAGAGTGTCCCACAAGAGTTTCCTACAAGAGTGTCCCACAAGAGTGTCCCGCAAGAGTGTCCCACAAGAGTGTCCCGTAAGAGTGTCCCACAAGAGTTTCCTACAAGAGTGTCCCACAAGAGTGTCCCACAAGAGTGTCCCGCAAGAGTGTCCCAAATGAGTGTCCCACAGGAGTGTCCCACAAGAGTGTCCCGCAACAGTGTCCCACAAGAGTGTCTCACAAGAGCGTCCCAAGAGTGTCCCACCAGAGTGTCCCACAAGAGTGTCCCGCAAGAGTG